ACATTTCTGCAGCAATTCGCGATTTTTGATTTAAAAAAAAATATTCATGAAAAGATTTCCGGGTGAATTTCTTCATAATAAACACATTTTTGTATGCTGTTTTAACCAACGCACACATTTTTTTGCGTGCTATTTTTCCTAACATAATGCATTTCTGTATGTTGTTTTCACTAGTACTTTCATTTCTATGCACATTCCCCACTCAAAGATTCATTTTTGTAAACGTTTGGTTAGAGAACCAAGCACCTTGAAAGCCGTCACACAGAAGAGGACAAAGATAGATTCTATATTGCCTTACTTGGCCTTACTTTACAGGAGGGTACCTTGACCAAAGAACTCCTAAAAGCTGGAGTTGGTACAGCTCTAGAGTAACAAGAATCAAGTCCTGAAATTCCCTCCCATGGACTTCAAACTATTTTGCACTTTGCCTGAGTCTAGACCCTCATAATTCAAGCACTATCCTTCTGTTTATATGGAAAACTGCCAGCAATGCCCCTCTGTTGAACTAACCCAAAGCCATTAGGGCACTTATAGCAGTGATGTGTATGTCCATGGAGAATGTGTAAGAGAAATGTATCGCAGCATAATCCTAGGCCACAGTCCTATGCCCACTCACCTGGGCGTAAGTCCCATTGAACACAGTGAATAAACATGCATCAGGTTTGCCTGCACATTTGACTGGAGATGCTATTGAATCTTTGATCTTGTTCTTCTGAGACAGGGATGGCCTTGAATGTCAGATCATAAATAAGGTTCTTCAGATTATCTTTGCTGCGTGCTGTAAAGGAGATTTTCCTAGGGGAGGATTTTGATATGAAACTCTTCTCCAGGCAGGGGTGTGCCAGATTTTGGCCCCCCCCCAATATTTTAAGGGTGGGAGCTGGGCCCCCCAATGTCCAAAAAACATGGAGGCTCCTCCTCCTGCCGTGGAGAAGAAGGTGGGTCAAAGCAGCCTCTCACCGGTGGTGTTGGCAGCAGGAGGCAAAGGAAGGGCCACTGACCATTAGAGCTATGCGGCCACTGTGTTTCGCTCTGTTCCCATCTCCTTCTGACTTTCTGCGCACAAACGTTGGCCCCCCTGCCCCCATCACCCTTGTAAGCTGGCGTCTCCAGGTCATCAGTTTTCCCTTAAGTTTGGTGAACATTTTTTAATTCAAGAAGGAACTGACTTCCGGATGCATTTTTAATGTGAACGGATAGGCGAATTTAAGCCTACACCATCAGACTCTACCTTCAGTTACAGAAATGCAAATGAAACAAGATGTTAATCAGTTAATTGCACCAGTTAGTTGACAAAATGCCTTTAGTTCCAAATGTGAAGAGCACACCAAAAGCTTTTATTGTTTTCTACCATGGTTTCTACTACCTTGGAAAGACCGCAATTTCTTTGTTTTAATCCAATCCGAACACAAATCTAAAACCAGCATGGGTGGCATTGTATATACCGTTTCTCTTCTGTTTTATTCGCTACACAAAGAAGCATAAGGGAGACTCAAAACACATTTTAATGTCACATATGAACACATCTTTTCATTTTGGTTCAACCAACAAGACAACTTGTTGAGTCATAAAAGCGCACCACCAGTAGAAAATCAAAACAGTGGTCTAACAGTGGAGGGTGTGTCAGGGATTTGCTGGCCTGGCAGAGATGCCCATGCAAATGTTTCAGAAATTTAGTAATCCTGCACTCAGTCCAGCAAAGTCTTCTTACAAAGAACTCCCAACTTCCTTAAGCAAGAGGGCAGAAGATTATATTTACCCTTTTGGTTCAGGAGTTAGCATTCTACATTATAAACTGTTAAGACTCACAACATTCCTATGACCAAGAACAGGCTGATATGATTTAGGGGACCTGCAGATGCAGAGCATGGTGGTAATGCAGAACAGGAAGTGGAGCAGGAAGGGTAAAACTTGAAGGCCATGTACACAGTATACTTTTGAAGCACATTGCAAGCACATCCTTTCCCTCCAAGAATTCTGTACACTGTCTTTCATTTAGGGTTGCTGGGAATTGTAACTCTGTGCTTTAAAGCTATAGTGTTTGCACAGTCAAATGTTACTGAGCATTTTTTAAAAAAGCATATTCAACACTGCCACTGCTATTTTGAGGAAACTAGCAATTGTTGCTGGTGAGGAGTGGTGATCAAACAGGAAACTAAATAGCAATACCTCTTCTCCTGCAGCAAAGACTGGAAAAGAGTGGGGGAGAAGGACACACACACAAAAAACAGGAAGCTCCTCAGATATATCCATAGCTGTCAACCTTCCTTTTTTTTGGTGGGAAATTCCCTTATTCCAGCACCATTTCCCGCTGCTATTCCGGATTCCCATCAGTTAGATATCCCGTAGACTGTCCCCAGGACAGGTGAGGCTGCTGGTCCCTTATCTTTGAGGCTGCTGATCCCTTATTTTCAAATCTGAAAGTTGACAGCTATGGATATATCCATGCTATAGACATAAACTACTTAAATTATTATCTCTTTCCCCAGGAAACTCTTGAATTTTTTAGTTCTGATACGATTTAGGGGACCTGCAGATGTTGGTCAGAGCAGTGGTGGTAATATAGAACAGGAAGTGGAGTGGTAAGGGTAAAACTTGAAGGCCATGTACACAGCATACATTTGAAGGTTTCTTTAACACAGGAGCCCTAGCAACATCACCAAAGTACAATTCCTAGAATTGTTGTGGAGGAAAGAGCAATGGCAGATACAGTGGTATAAAACCAAGACATAATATGATGTAGACCATCCAATAGAAATAGTACATCTTAGGGTCAAACTGTATGTTTTTCAGTAGCAGATAGTGTGCTTAGGAAAAGCACACCATTTTATTAACAAAAAGCAATCAGGGTCCCACGCTCTGAATTAGGGCTGTGGCACAGAGAAGGGTTAAACCTTTTGCCCTGTGCTGCTTTCCTGGTGGAATAGCACGCCCAAAGCTTGTCGTTGCCCCATGGTGCTGATATATATACTGCAAATAGCACCTTCAGCGGCAAAGAGTAGAAACAGGGGCAGCTGTTTCTCATAGGAAAATGGTGCAGGAGGAAAAAACAGCGTCACCTCCCCCAACCCTGATGCAAATTCATTTAAGGATATATTTGAAATAAGTAACATATGAAGGAGGGTTATTTATGTGAAGGGTTATCACATGATGACTGGACTGCCAGCTCTCATGTTGCATGGCCAGATTAGTGATGGCCCCTGATATCTGCATGTTGAGCATAGATATCTGAAGAGACGCCTTATATGTGCGTAGCTGCTCTCACTCAGGGGCTCCATACAATTAGGATGTCAGTGCAATTAGGGAGCCCAGTCATAAGCAAGCCTGTGCATTAGCAGTTGCTTGTGAGTGAGGTCTCCTCTTCAGAGCTCAGCCTGTGGACATCAGGGATTGGCTAGGCCAGGTGCATGACACCAGGGATGGGGCAAGTGGATTGCTCTGTTGGGCATCTTATGATGCCCCTTCGTGCAAGCAATATGTCCTTCAATGAGGGACAGCAGGTTCTTTCACTTCCAGCTCTCTAGGTTTCTAATTTTTCCAATCTTAAATGCAGTAATTTGGGGGCAAATAATCCTCATGAAAATTCTTAAGCATTTTGGTGCAAATTTGTCCTGATAAACACATTTTTCTATGTTATTTTATATGCAGTTTCTCCTAATATAGTGCATTTTTATATTGTATTTTCACCAATATCTTTATTTTTCTGCACATTGCAACCATCCCCATTGTTCTGCCCGGACACTGAGGTCCAGCGCCGAGAGCCTTCTGGTGGTTTCCTCACTGTGAGAAGCGAGGTTACAGGGAACCAGGCAGAGGGCCTTCTTGGTAGTGGCCCCCACCCTGTGGAACGCCCTCCCATCAGATGTCAAGGAAATGAACAACTATCTGACTTTTAGAAGACATCTGAAGGCAGCCCTGTTTAGGGAAGCCTTTAATGACTGATGTTTTAATGTAATTTCAATATTTTGTTGGAAGCTGTCCAGAGTGGCTGGGGTATAAATAATAAATTATTAGTATATAACCACATATATGCAATTTTTTTGTAAGCATCTGGTTGGAGAACTGCATTGCAAAAATTGGATGGATGTGAATTTCAAAGGATGGCTCTGTTTGGGAGTCTCATATTGTTGTGAAAAGTGACAATTTGCTAGAGTCACATTTAAATGTGAACTGTATGAAATCTTTCCCTCATACGCACCTGTTGTGTGGCCAACAGTTAGCTTAGCTGCAGCTACATTGTACAAGAGAAAAGCCTGTGTACAGCATTCTGCCTTAATTGTTCATGTGTATGCAATTAAATGAGTGTGCTTGGGCTACATCCAGCAATTTCTTACTTAACGTCTAGGGACCCTGGGGAGGAAATTACATACCGAAGAATGGCAACCATTCAAAATTTAAGCAGGGCATTCGTAAGAGACCAAAACAAGGACTGTAATTCACCAGAAACGTGGGCCAGAAATAGGGACTGATCTTAATGTCTATAATGACATGAAGATTGACTGCAAAAACATGAATTGTTGTGGGAATGGCTTTTTAATTTTACAGCATTGGTCCCCAACAAAGCCCACTTTGTGGAACATCCATTGCTAAGACCACGAGCTTTTCAAAATAGATTTTGAGATTTGAGTCTGGGTATCAAAAATCACACTCACCATAATATATCCACTATACATTTTAGAATATTGTTTGGGACAGGAATGGGGAACCCATAACCTCCAGATGTTGTTGTACCCCACTTTCTACCAGTCCCAGCCAGCATGGTCAACGGTCAGGCCTGATGGGAGTTGTAGTTCAACAATACCTGGAGAGCCACATTTGCCCCATCTCTAGGTCAGAAGGATAGGCTAGGGCAAAAGAACAAGAATATATAGGTAATTTTCAGTGCAGTGACTGATGAGACAATGACCAAGGTCTACACTAGCATGACATCGCCTTTATTAACTAGTGTAGCAATACCTCATTAAATCTATAAACCATTGACACACAGTCAAGAGAAAAAGAAAATTAGCAATGGGTTCATGGGTTTACAAGCTTTCGGAAGCTCGTCTCCTATAGATGCCTCAGTTCTCCTGACACGTGTGGTCATTTTCAATGCCTTAGGAGAGCACCATTTCCTGGAATTCTGCACCAAAAGCGGAAAAAAAGTCATTTGCAAAGCTGACTTGTATAATTCAGACAGTTGCTTGTCTACACCGCAATCACTCATGTAGTGACAGCACAAGATATGGCAGCGAGGGAGTTATGAAATAGGTGTGAAAAATATTGGAATATAGTGGCTGAAATTGTGGAAGTGCTACAGGTAGGGGACTGTGGGTCTTATAGCTTTGCGAGTGAGACTTTGCAGTGCCAGGGAACAAAAACGACAAATTTGGACAAGGCTACACTATGTGGACAGAAACTAGGTTTCATCAAGGAGAATGGGTCCATGTATAGCTAGTAACCTCCAAATTCAGGAGCAGTATACCTCTGAATTGCCAGTTGAGTGGAGAACAACTGGGAGAAGCTTATTGCCCTTAATGTCCTGCTTTTCGCGTTTCCAGAAGCATTTGGATAGCCACTTTTGGAAACCAGGAAACTGGGCTAAATGTCGCAACAGGTGACTCTTGTCAATTTTGGTTTCTCACTTGTGATGCTGATTAATAATAATTCACTTACGAACCACATTTTACATGTGCCTCAAGGTGACCTTTGCCTCAGTTTGTAATACTCCTTATGAAAATTTGTCAGCATATCGGTATGTATTTTCCCTAATGTATGTATTTCCCCTAATGTAAATAATTTCCCTTAATATAATGCATCTTGGGGTGTTGTTTGCACATTTCTGTACACCTTTTTGATTGTTTGTTAGAGAACTGCATCAGCCAATTCGAATCCTACCTGTATTTCTGCTCATATAGCATTTTAGGAAGGGTGTAACCACAGCTGATAAAGGTCACCCATTTTATTAAAGCCACCTCTTTCTCCCCCCCGGCCTGCTTGTGCAACAATTATGCTGGGGGGGGGAAGAGGCCCTATTCCTATGAATGAACCTTTTTGTAATGCTAGTTGATAACTGGCTTGAGGCTGCGGCAGCAGTTGCTGTTAGATGAGGAGGAAGGAGAGGCAGAGGAAGTCATATGTGGGGAACAGCCCAAGAGTAAGGATGGGTACCCCAATACAAGGGGGACAGTTCTGCTGGCTCTCTGTCTTGCCCCATCCTGTCCTCTCCCCCTAGAGATTGCGTAGCACTGGGGGAGGGTGTCAACAAGCCATGGTAAAGGTAAAGGAGCCCTGGACAGTTAAGTCCGGTCAAAGGCGACTATGGGGTTGCGGCGCTCATCTCACTTTCAGGCTGAGGGGGCCGGCATTTGTCTGCAGACAGCTTTCCAGGCCACATGGCCAGCATGACTAAACCGCAACAGAACACCGTGACGGAAACTAGAGCGCACAAAAACGCCATTTACCCTCCCGCCTCAGTGGTACCTATTTATCTACTTGCACAGATGTGCTTTTGAACTGCTAGGTTGGCAGGAGCTGGGACAGAACAACGGGAGCTCACTGCCGATCTTCCGATCAGCAAGCCCAAGAGGCTCAGTGGTTTAGACCACAGCGCCACGCACATCCCATGAGGGGAGGCTGAGCAGCAGGTGGAGCCATAGGGGCCCACCCCATTCTATCATTCTATCACCAAGAACTTGGTGATTTCTCTGCTGCTGACAGCAGACCCTCATAGGTTTCATCTGGCCTCAGATGCCTGATGCTGTTCTTGAACTCTATAGCCTCACCTTAGGCATCTGTACTTGTACCATTGCAAACCTTGATTAAAGCTTGCTTTCTAACACACACACACACACACACACACACACACACACACACACGAGCCTCTGTTGAAGTGGTGTTTACCAGGCAAGGAGATGATTAATCCTTCCCTCTCCAGCTGTCCAGGGACACAGGTGGCTCTGTGGTCTAAACCACAGAGCCTAGGGCTTGCCGATCAGAAGGTTGGCAGTTCGAATTCCCACGACGGGGTGAGCTCCCGTTGCTCGGTCCCAGCTCCTGCCCACCTAGCAGTTCGAAAGCACGTCAAAGTGCAAGTAGATAAATAGGTACCACTCTGGCGGGAAGGTAAACAGCGTTTACGTGCGCTGCTCTGGTTTCGCCAGAAGCGGCTTAGTCATGCTAGGTACATGACCCGGAAAAACTGCGGACAAATGTCGGCTCCCTTGGCTAGTAAAGCGAGATGAGCGCTGCAACCCCAGAGTCGTTCGCGACTGGACTTAACGGTCATGGGCCCCTTTACCTTTACCCCAGCTGTCCATGTTGAAAATGCAGCAATTAGGTAGGCTTAGTAAATAAAAGTTTCGTTTGCATAAATGGAACCTTTTCTAAGTCCAATCACTTCATGGGTGGCTGAGGGAGGGAGACTATGGGGCAGAGCTATTTCCCTGGAATTTAAGAGCCACATACCCAGTTGGTCGTGGCTCTTTGACCTGGTTCACTATGAGAGTGAGCAGAACATGAAAAAGTCTGTTAAGTCAGATCCACCCCCCCACCCCCACCCCGGGAGCCAGTTTCTAGGATAATACTTGCAGAATAGAATCACCAATAGGTGAAAGAGCCTACCCTCATGGAGAGATGCAGGCCGGCCCATATATTTGTTGTTGGGGCATTTGTGCTTAGTACTAATCTCACAGAGGGTGCCAGTCAGGCAGTTTCTAGGAGAAAGGGAAGGGGGCAGAAACAGTGGATAGAGGTGACAGGATTAACCTATGCTGGACCATTCAATATCAGCCACATTCGTACCTTCAGCCCCAATCTTCCCATCTCCATCGTGGTCTCCCGCTGCCAAAAGGGTTTTGGTTTCTGTAGCTGTTAACACTCGGGCTCCACTATCAAACCTCTGGAGGAAAAACCTAGTAAGGGAAGAATAAAGTGCACATAACTGAATGCCATTGAATATACAACTGCCTGAAGAGGAGTCCTGAGCAACATGAAACCTTGTTAACCTCAGTTACACACTGACCTAGTTTGCCGTAACACTAAGACCACATTCACACCACACATTTAAACTTTAAAGCACTGCGACAATGCTTTTAGTAGTCATGGAATTAAGTCTCCAAAGAATTGTGGGAGCTGTGGTTTGTTAAGGGTGTTGAGAGTTGATAAGCGACCCATATTCCCCGAACTGAGCTACAATTTCTGTGAGGAGGGATTTACTGTTAAACCACTCTAGGAATTGTAACTCTGTGAGGGTCTCATAGCAACTCTTAGCCGCAGGGGTCAGCAAACTTTTTCAGCAGGGGGCCGGTCCACTGTCTCTTAGACCTTGTGGGGGCCAGACCATATTTTGAAAATAATAATAATGAACGAATTCTTATGCCCCGCAAATAACCCAGAGATGCATTTTAAAGAAAAGGACACATTCTACTCATGTAGAAACATGCTGATTCTCGGACCGTCTGCGGGCCGGATTTAGAAGGCAATCGGGCTGGATCCAGCCCCCGGGCCTTAGTTTGCCTACCCATGTCTTAGCACCATTAACAAAATACAGCTCCCATATTACTTTGAGGAAAGCCAAGGCTGTTTAAAGTGGTATCAGAGTGCTTTAAATGCATGGCCAAACCATGGCTAAGCACAAACAGGCAAGTGTGCAAGAACTCGGGTGGAAAATCACACCCACTTTGCTCCTTTGCTGCTGCTTGAATCGCGAGCTTTCTGAATCAGACCATGAGTTGGAGGCATTTGAGGACAGGGACTCTCAATGTGAGGAGAGGGGAGAAGACTATGCAAGAAATCCTACTTGATGAACCCCCACTCTCTGCCTCAGACAATCTCAGGCCTGGGCAGGACAGGAGCACTAAAGCACTCTCCTGCTTTTGATCCTCAGCACATGGTATTCAGAAGTTCACTTCCTATGACACTAACTTGAGGTAATATAGGTAGCCGTGTTGGTCTGCCATAGTCAAAACAAAAAAAATTCCTTCCAGTAGCACCTTAAAGACCAACTAAGTTAGTTCTTGGTATGAGCTGCCAATCACCCATTCCCACCACCCTTCTGAGTAATACCCCTCCCCACCTTCTCACTATATAGAAGGATCTGGCAACTTCTGTTTCAGTGTATCTGAAGAAGTGTGCATGCACACAAAAGCTCATACCAAGAACTAACTTAGTTGGTCTTTAAGGTGCTACTGGAAGGATTTTTTTTTTGTTTTGAGGTAATATATTCATTGGAACAAAGAGGCATCAATAGCTTTATCCTCTACAAATTTGTCTAATCCACTTTGCCTAGGAGATTTTCTTCTCCCTGACAGATGAGGAGGGAAAACTGGGCACCAAGTCTACCAAATGGAGAATGGTCGGTGGAGCAAGGAACTAAAGCAGAAATTGAGAACCTGTAGTCTTCAAGGACTCCACTCCCATCAGCCGGAGCCAGGTCTGATGGCAATTGGATTCCAGCAACATCTATAGGGCCACAGATTCCTCATCCCCCAGTTTAAAATAATGTTACATAAGGTGGGGTGCAAATGAATAGGCATTTTTTGCCTCCCATATTTTAAAGATTTCTCGCAATAGGAGTGCTATTTTAAATCACGCTGATTAGGTTTTACGGTAGGAGTGACTACTAGCAGATTCCCCCAGGAAATCATTCTGCGCGGTTCAATAATTTGCATGTTTATTCAAAAATAAACCCTGCTGTGTCCAGTAGGGCTTAGGCAGGGGCAGAGGAAGGGGGGTGCAGTGGGGGCAGGCTGCCACGGGTGTCACCACTGAGGGGGGTGAGAAAATGCTGGGTGGCACTCACTGCGGGGCCGGCAGCGCGCCCGAGCCACGCATCTCTCCTGGGAGTGACGCGGTGGCTTGGGCACCTGCAGGCTCCTTGCTGCCCCAAACGGTTTGCCCGCCACCTCCCCCTCAGCTGTAGGGCAGCTGAGTGGGAGGAGGCAGACAGAGTCCTTGGAGGCCCCACGGAGCGTCCTGCCCCAGCTCCCCCCACCCCCGCGGGTGGCTGGCCCAGGCACCTGATCGGCTTGCTCCGTCCCTGGGCTTAGGCTGTGTAGATGCTGTCTTTGAAGCACATTCTTTCCCTCAAAGAATTCTGGGCACTGTAGTTTACCCTTCCAGTGTTTACAATTCCCAGCAACCCTTAACTTTTAATGTTTAATAGTCTGTTGTATTTTAATATTTTGTTGGAAGCTGCCCAGAGTGGCTGGGGAAACCCAGTCAGATGGGTGGGGTTGTTGTTGTTGTTGTTGTTGTTGTTATTATTATTATTAACAACAAACCACAGGGACGTGGGTGGCGCTGTGGGTAAAAGCCTCAGCGCCTAGGGCTTGCCGATCGAAAGGTCGGCGGTTCAAATCCCCGCGGCGGGGTGCGCTCCCGTTATTCGGTCCCAGCGCCTGCCAACCTAGCAGTTCGAAAGCACCCCCGGGTGCAAGTAGATAAATAGGGACCGCTTACTGGCGGGAAGGTAAACGGTGTTTCCGTGTGCAGCTCTGGCTCACCAGAGCAGCGATGTCATGCTGGCCACGTGACCCGGAAGTGTCTCCAGACAGCGCTGGCCCCCGGCCTCTTGAGTGAGATGGGCGCACAACCCTAGAGTCTGTCAAGACTGGCCCGTACGGGCAGGGGTACCTTTACCTTTACCTTTAACAACAAACCACAGTGCCCGTAATTCTTTGAGGGAAAAGAATGTGCTTGATAGGCATAATACCCAGAAAGAGTGCACAGGGTGTCTGTTAAATATGCTTCATGCTTATTTCATATTCATACCAAGGATGTGCCAAAGAAATGAGAGAAACACAAAAGGAAGAGAGATGTCTAGGCAACTTCAAAAGTCAGAGAAAGAGAGAAAAGGGGAGGTGGAGCCTCACTTCAGTTCATCTTCTTCAATATAGCCGCTTTGATCATTGTCTAGGATGCGGAAGAGATCCTTCAGTTGGCTGCTGCTCTTTTTGGACATGCCACTTATCTGAAAGAATTTTTTGTAGTTGAAACTATCTGGAGCTAAGACAGAAAAAGAAAGCTGCTGTTACCTAGGAGCTTGAGATACAGATGAAGACGGTCACTTCTTTTGTACCTATGCATCCTGACTCCAAAAGTTGCTCAGATCCTCTTATGGGTTCTGTGCATGTGTGCGCATACAAGCGGCATTTTAAGATTTCTTTCACACATGCCTGCTTCTCACTGCATTATCTTTGTGAGGGATCCGTTGTCGAGTGGATCAGACTTAATGCATTTCTGTCTCTGGCATGGTTTATTTATTTGATTGTTTCATAAAATTTATATACTGCTTGACTATAAACCCCCCCCCAAAAAGTAAAAACACCAAACCTCGAAGCAGAATAAAACAATGAAATCATTGCCAAAAACAGTGTAAAATAACAATTAAAAACATTTAAAAAAATAATTAAAATCAACGATAAGATGAAAACAGATTAAAAACACACAGCAACATTGTACACATCTGGGTAGGCCTGCCTAAACAAATATTTTTTTTTGCAGGTGCTGAAAAGATTACAGTGGAACCTTGGTTCTTGAACGGCTTAGTTGACGAACAAATCGGCTCCCAGACGCTGAAAACCCAGAAGTGTTCCGGTTTTCGAACTTTTTTGGAAGCCAAACATCCAATGCCGTTGTTGACTATTGTTTCGGCGAAGGGGGGGGCTGCGCTAATCGGAAGCCGCGCCTTGGTTTTCAAACGTTTCGGGAGTCGACCGGACTTCCGGAACGGATTAAGTTCAAGAACCAAGGTTCCACTGTACCGTGAAGGGGCCTGCCTGATGTCAATAGGCTGGGAATTCCGAAGTGTGGGATGCTGCCACACGAAAAGTTCATTTTATTACAAATGCAAAGCAAGTATTGTGTGGCACCTGTTACCGTGCCAGTTCCGCAGGAGGATCCCGTGGTCAAGGTACTCAAAAACCAACAGGAGACCAAGAAGCAGGAACAGGGTCATACTCCCCAACCTCCTCTCTTCAAAGGTCATCCATCGGGGTGACCAATGTCAACTCAGACCCGAATCCTGGTTGGGAAAGATCTAAGAAATCTGTGGCGTCCAAGAATGCTTGGAGGTGCGCCCTGCCCAATCCTGTCCACCACCTTCCCCCCAAAGGAAAGATTTGAGACTGGTCGATAAGGGGGTCCAGAGCTGGTTTCTTTAAGACAGGGGTCAGCAAACTTTTCCAGCAGGGGGCTGGTCCACTGTCCCTAAGACCTTGTGGGGGGCCGGACTACATTTTGGAAAAAAAATAATGAACGAATTCCTATGCCCCGCAAATAACCCAGAGATGCATTTTAAATAAAAGGACACATTCTACTCATGTAAAAACACGCTGATTCCTGGAGCGTCCACGGGCTGGATTTAGAAGGCGATTGGGCCGGATCTGGCCCCCGGGCCTTAGTCTGGCAACCAAACCAAACCATACATTAAATGTGTGATTGCATCCTTCAAAATAGCAGCTGCAGGGATTTATTTAACTTAGAAAAACCCACAGGCTGTTTAATGAGAAAAATAACATAAGTAGCTCACAAAATGAACTTACCAATGAAACACAGATCAAATACAATGATGAGACATAGATAAAATAACTGAATTGGAACCTGTGTATTCAGAACACTGGTGTAGTTAGGTAATTTAAGACTCTGAACCTCGAGGTCTCTTGGAGGCCTTCCTCTAGGTGGCAATGTGCATTATACTTCATTTACTGCTGTGTTTGGATCCCCTCCTGCTTATTCTGTTGTCTAGGGCTGGGAGCAAACTATAGGTAGGGGATGTCCTGCTTGTCAATGTCCTGTAGGCATCAGGCTAACTACTACCTTGAGCGCTTAACCTCTTTAAGATCTTCAGAGAGGAAGCAGACTACAAATGGAAATACAACAATACAGTTGAAGACAGCATCTTGGGTTAGGTCAGTGACTGAGAACCTGTGGCCATGAGGTGAGGTGAAAAAATTTGCCACAGGGGCAGATCTGACCTCTGCCCCACCACCACCCAACTGCCACTGTTGCACCACTGCCAGCCATGCTGTGGTTCTGCTCATGCCACCTCTGCTGCCGCCACAGTACCCTTGCCCTCACCCCAACACTGCGTCTTCACCACTACCACTGTGTTGCAGCAGCAGCCTGGATGCAGCCATGGCATACCTGCCAATATTTCTCTGATGAAAATAGGGATGAGGAGGAGGATAATAATACTTTCCCATCTGACTGGGTTGCCACAGCCACTCTGGGCAGCTTCCAACATATATAAAAGCACAATAAAATACGAAACATTAAAAAAACTTCCCTATACAGGGCTGCCTTCAAATATCTTCTAAAGGTTGTATGGTTCCTTATCTCCTTGGCTCAGGGATCATGTAACTCCATGCTCTTCAACATTTCTCCCATGAAAATAGGGATGTTCTTAGGAAAACCGGGATATTCCAGGATCAAATCAGAAACCGGGACGGCTTCTGTAAACCTGGGACTGTCCCTAGAAAACAGGGACACTTGGAAGGTCTGCAATAGGCAAGGCTGTAGTTGCAGCGGCAGGATGGGCAGCAGTGCAGATGCAATGTTGGAGACAGGGAGGGTGCCTGGATTTGTGGGGGGAGAGTGCTGGGCAGGGGGAGGCAGCGGGGCGTTTTGCCCACAGTGGTAAAACCTCCTGGACTATGCCTGTCTGTGTGGCTGTCCAGAAGTTGTTGGAATCAAACCCTAATCAACCCCAGCCACTATGGACAAGGTAGAAATTATGGGAGCTATAGTACAACAACATCTGGAGAGCCCTAGATTCCCCATTCCTGGACTAATGGACCTTTGGGTCACATTCTTGCCATACATTTAAAGCCTATCACTTCACTCACAGAATCCTGGCAGCTGTGGTTTGCTAAGGGCGCTAGGAATTGTAGCTCTGTGAGAAGGAAACTACAGTTCCCAAGATTCTTTGTGAGTAAGCCATGTCTGCTAGGGTGGTAGAAATGTGCTTTAGATGCAGCTCTTAGATTAGTTACACAGACAATTTTACCTTGACAGTCTCTGATTGCAGCAGCAATATCAGAAGGGCTGATGATGTCGTGGATACTCATATTAATCTGTCCCAAAAGACAAAAAAGCAAAGTGCTATAACAAGGGAAACGAGCTCACCCTTTCACTCAGGGAACGGAAGAGATACGAGAGAAGAAAAAGCAAGGGGCATTACATTCGGCTTTAAGACAAAACCTATTAATATGTATCTTTAAAACTATCTACACAATCAGCATAACCAGGGCTGGATCTAGAAAACATCAAAGAAGCGTTTCAGTTTAAAGCATTGTAAATTTAAACAGGGAAAACAGGTGGAGAAAAATGGGACTCTGCATCACCATCTAGTGGCACAACGTTATATCGCATATACAACACATATAAATTGCTTTTTCTTTACCAGTCCAACTGAGTCCCATGTTTGGATAAACCTTGTTCTCATACCGAGCGTCAAAATCATTGGCCCCCTCTTTGACTCAGGCCTACGTCCATATCTGATGTATCTTACATATTTTTGCACAAAACAGCATTGTATTCTGAGATGCACAGATATGAGAGATGGAGATGAGAGAGAGAAATAAGTGCCCCGGCTGAAAATGGAAAGGGTGGAATATTTTCACTAAAAATGGTTAATCATCCTAGTATTGTGGACAGTAACAGGTAAAAGGATAGCCAATAAATACATAGCAGGTTCATCTTAGAGAAGAAGCACTATGCTTACTGCTCAGAGATGTTTTGCTCCCTTAGTCCCTTCCATGGCTTTTCCAGGCAGGGAAACAGTTCACCGGTAAATAGATAATAGCTCAGTCTTAGAGACAAAGCTGTATACTTACAGTGTAGTTGGCCAGGCACAGGTGTCTCTGCCCTTTAATCTCTTCACGGGCTGCTCACCTTTATGGTTTCTCTGAGCAGGGAAGAGGTGGGAGGGGGGGGGGAAAGCCGAATCAATATCAGGCAAAATTGTACCTTTGGCTTGGAGTTGTCCACCTAACTTATATAGGATTCAAAAGGTGACAATAGCGACTTAGGTTACCCTTTCATGGATTAGATGCTCAATTTGAGACCCTGCTCAAATGTCTTGCTTAACTAATGAACTGGGTTTTTTCCCCTTCTATTTATACCCAAGGAGAATATAGTAGAGAGAATTGCCGACACTCCCATCTTGGCAATATGTTCTTGCACTGACTTTAATTAGGCCTGCACCAATGGGGGGAAAGTGTGCAGGAACAGTTTTTATAGCAAAGCAGGGCCTGGGCTGCACCTAGCTCCCAACTGTGCAATACTCAACCAGCAGAGAGAATTACGGACACTCTCATCCTGACTGGCTTTCGTCAAGCTTAAGTGATGAAATTGAATTCCACATGAATTCAATGTGAGGGACCAAAAACATTTGCTTTGGTTCGTAATGGCAAGCTGGATGGCCAGGAGAAAGTCTTTAGCTCAGTGGTAGGGTTCGTGTGTTGCATGCAGCAGGTGCACAGAATTAATGCCTGCCTTGGTTTGGACATAATGTTAAACCATGGTTTAGATTTACACGAGTTACAAGCTTTGAGTTTGTGTGCCGTCTCTTTCCTGCTCAGTATGATTCTGAAGACAATGGAAGCTTTCACTTCTGCTTTTAGTTAACCACACTTTATTGTTATATCCAACTCCAAAACTGTGGTTAATCTTGACATTCTTTTGAAACGGTCAGCTTTATAAACCAGAGTTTGAGGCTGGCTTGTTTCAGCATATCATACTTCAGGCAAGCCACAGTTTGTCAGGATTCAGACTGCTCCCCAGTGAAAATTTGCTTAACAGGGAATGCAAAAGTGCGAAACAGACATTTGAAAAATAACACTGCCTTTCCAAATATGGCTATTTGCTACCATTCATGTGGTAGATATAGAAAATAACTGTGATCTTCAAAATGTGCAGGATCCATCACAGGTTGTTATTTTTGCTGCACAGAAGCAAAATATAGGGGCTGTTAATTAAGATCGTTATGCGTTGGTACATATGTGTGGGGGGGTGATCTGGAATGAAAATGCAATTTCTATATATGTTTTGTGTTTGTAAGTGTAATACAAGCTTGTTGCACCTGAAAGACATGACAAACTCCTCTGGGGGTATTCTTTGGGTTTGCCCCCACCAGAGATGCAACCAGCTGACCCCAGCAAGCTTGCCATATCCTTCCCAGCACCAAAGCAAGGTGCGATGGTTTGGGGAGTATCCTGAGCAGCTGCAGCTAGTTGGGCAGATGGCATTCAGTGGGGCCCAATCATGCTGCTTAGTATCTCCCAGAAAACAGCCTCCTGGAGAGAGCTGCGTCTGCAAGGGTGCAGTGGGTCCGAAGGTAAGCTCAGTGCCTCTCCCCACTCACCCTGTCTCAGCTGCCAGAGGGAGCTCCATACCATTGGTGATGTGATGGCCTGGGACTTGGGATCGGAGCCAGAGGAGACTCAGTCTGCACCGAATCCTTTGCCTCAGGCATCACCTGAACCAAGTCTGGGGCCTGATCCTGAAGAGTCCCAGTCTGCACAGGTTCCCCTGCAACAAACACCAGCTGGGCCGAGTCAGGGGCCTGAGCCTGCCCTGGCTCCAGATGCGGGGATTATCTTGTTGCCTCCAGCTGGGCCATCACCTCCAGCTGCTCCACTGCCGGTTGGGTCAGGAGAGGCTGAGGCGGCCTCTGGGTCTAGTAACCCACCGACGTTTCCGAGCTGCAGAGACTAAGGTCTGAGAGAAGGAGAGGCCTGAGTACTCGCAGGAGGAGTGCTCACCTTCAGGCGAAACAGGGAGGTGAGTCGTCGGGGGATCAGGACCAGCTGTTACCGGTCTTGTTACTGGTTCGGGCGAAACAGGGAGGTGAGTTGTCGGGGGATCAGGAAAGGCTGTCGGACCCCGCCCCAGGTTGTGGGAGCAACATTGCTGTATGCTAGATCCTGCACCTGTCCTTGCCTGGTTTCCTGCCTTGGCCCTGTCGGACTGACTCCCAGCGGAACCTTCAGATTCTGGACCAGTCCTGGACCGTGTTTCATGGGTTACCCCCAGGCCCAGCACAGGTGAGAAGGGCAGGAACAGTGGTGAGGGGGGCTGAAACCACATGGTGGGCCGCCCCTGTTCTTTCTGCTGGCCCTTTTCACTCAGAGGTGGAGCAAGGTGGGTGCGGTGCGCCCCAGGTGTCATCCCTGAGGGGGGTGATATTGCCGCTCCGCCCCCCCCCCGGGATGCTTGGCGTGGGCGGCACACCCCTGGGACACTTGCCCTGCCCCCCGGGTGCACTTAGACTTGGGGAAATGAATCACGTTTGTGCAAATGTTTCTACCTAAGTTTAATTGCTGTGCATTAGAGGTGTTGGGTGTGAGTGGCTGCATACATTGAGGAAAGGGCTCACCCTTTTCTCCCCAGCTGCCATTTCTTGGGAAACCCCTGTGGCAGTTAGGTAATGTACAGGGAAACGTGCAGAAAATGCTGGTTTTTATCCCTCCATGTTTGCTGATCCTATCGAGGAACCTGGAGGTGAATGATGCCGAGTGACTTCGTGCCAGCCTGACGAAAGAGAAGCTGTCAGCCGGACAGAAGAAACCTTGATACGGTTTGGAGCGAACTGCCTTTATCAAGCTTCACTTTCTCGTCTACAACAAAGCCATTTCCTAAAACGTCGCTGCTATCTTGGGAAAAAGAAGAATGAGAATGTAAAAACCTTTTTAATGACAGTGAAAACTTGGACAGCTCTGACAGGACTGTTGTTATTAAACAGAGCTGTGTAAGAGATGATCTGCACTTCAGTTTTGGAACTTGAATACAAAAAAATGCCCCATTGTGAAACACAGTACAGTGGTACCTCAGGTTAAGTACTTAATTCTTTCCGGAGGTCCGTTCTTAACCTGAAACTGTTCTTAACCTGAAGCACCACTTTAGCTAATGGGGCCTCCTGCTGCTGCCGCGCCCCCGGAGCACGATTTCTGTTCTCATCCTGAAGCAAAGTTCTTAACCCGAGGTACTATTTCTCGGTTAGTGAGGTCTGTAACCTGAAGCGTCTGTAACCCGAGGTACCACTGTAATGCGATTTGCAATTGAAATATACAATAACAAGCGGTGAAGGGTTATAGCTCTGTAGCAGAATTCCTGCTCTCTGCTTGGAAACAGAGGGATTGTTAGAGAGAGTAAGCTAGGGAGCCTGGCTCCCTATTCTTTTGCAGTGGGCCCTGGATATCCTGTGCCTCCCCACCCCCTCTTTAAAAACAACACAAAAGTATGGTTTATTATTATTATTATTTCTTCCAGCTTTGCTTATAGTCCTTTTGGGCATACTGTAAGGTGCAGTGCATGGACAGCTGCTATGTGGCCACCATATTTATTCCAACATAGTTTTCTAGCAAACTGAATATGTATTAAGTATAGAACATAATAAGATTATGTACTAGGTGCAGAATGTGGTAAGAGTAGAACTTTTGGAGTCTCCAAGATATACTGCTTAAGATGCATAGGGATGCCTGGCTAGAAGGAATAGTTTACAAACGAATGTATTTTTTTCTGGAGGCTTGGCTGTGAAATAGACCCACGTGCCATCTTTCCCATTGACATGCATTTTAAGACAAATTCCTTAAAAAGCATATTCTAAAGGAAAAGGAACTAAGATAGGAAGGAACCTGTCTTAACTATCTGCAGGGATCAGACTACCCCACCGCTTCTTCCAACTTAATGATACTTCTTTATCCCATATAAATGGATTTCTACTAAAAATGTAAAGAAGAACCCCACCCACCCCCCAGAAAAATAACAACCGAATGGCTAGCAAAGTGCTTTCCAGTTAAAATTATTTGGAAATGTTTAAATAAACGAACTGCATAGTGAAGAGACAACAAGGTCAGCTAAAAACATGAAAAGGAAGATGTCACCAATCAGTGACTGTTAAGAAAGAGGTTCTTTAAGGTTGAAACCGGACGCCAGGGACCAAAGTGACACCAATCCTAGCTGAAAGGTTGGTTACAAAAGCTAAAAAGAACTGTATTTCAGAACGAAGGCAATACTTCTGTATAGCGATACAGGTGGTAATCTACAGTTACTGGTATTTATTTAT